CCTTACACCCGATAACTTGCATCGTATTTTCTGCCCTTTCCAAAAGCAGGTTTAAATAGGTTTTGGCCCAGAAGACCTGAAGGGGGACAACCGACTGGATCCTTCTGTTACTTTTGACCTCCAGCACCTTGACAGTGTACAAGGAGGCCGTGTGGCTCAGAATATCTCCTTGCCTTCCCACTTCTAGGCCTAACTCTGCTGGTGCTGGGAGGCTGGCGCAGTTAGCAGAGAGGATGCAGATGGTTAACGGGTCCAGTGTTACATTCAAAAAGAAAACTTTTTAATTTTTTCTGGCTCTATTTGCTACCATCTTCTGTCTGCAAAACTGGTGCGTGCAGCTGTCTTAGGTTTTTATTTTTTTCTCAGCTCTTTCCATCACTAGGAATAGTTTGGGCCATAATAATTTTTTTTTTTTTTTGGTAGAGAGAAGCCTCACTTAACTATGCAGCTAACCCAACAAGCCCTGTGACATCCACCTCCTATGAGAGGTGACCATCACCGCTAAGGTCAGCCTCAGTGCCCTTTAAGCTTTGCAGGGAATTGAGAAGTGATTCAATCAACCGCCTCCATGGCAGTCGATACAAAGACCCCTCACTGTCCCTCCGCTGTGCAGAGGCTTCTCCTACCTTAAGAAACCATATAGGACACGGGGAGTATTGGCTCATTTTTCTCAAGCCACAAAGTTCCAGGGACAAACTCCAATCCCTCTCATTTCCCATCTCAATGTACTCAGGTCTAAGGCAGCAAAAGGGTGGGCCTGTTGCATTTAGAAGTTCAAGGAAGGTCCAGCCTTGGAGAAGAGGCCAGGCATTGCCAGGCTCCAGGAGTGCTTTGCTTAGGTTCCATCTCACTGTGCTTGGGGGTGGGGTGGGCACAGGAAATTACCTTCCGTGCAGCAAGGGCCCAAGGCAAAGTCCTTTCCCTCGGGATGGCCATCCCTCAGCGCCTTCCTTGTTTAGACTCTGAGTGCTGTGAAGGATGGGTGGTTTTACCAGCAAGCCCTGCCCGTTGCTTTCTGTTTTGATAGCCCTTCAGAGTGGGAGGGTCTAGGTACCGTCGCTGTACTTTCTGAAACCAAATACTGTTCAATCGGCTATGGGCCCTGTACCCATCCCAGGACAATAGTCAATGTTCTATTCGAGAGTCTGATGCATATTCATTGCATGAGATAATCTTTTCCAAAAAATAACTTCAATATTAATGCCACCGTCCCTAATTGTACTATCATATAGATGAGGTTTATAAAAGTTAAGTAAATTGCCTAAGGCGATATAATTGGTGAATAGCTACATAAAACCTACACCTTGATGCAAAAATCAAACTCTAAATCACTATATTAATCTGAAAAATGTTTCAAAAATAAGAAAAATTGCCAGTACACATTTGTAATACAGCAAGCTTACTGATAATGAGAGGTTGAAATTTAAAATAAGGAGATGCACTTATTATACATACTTGAATGATTTTTATAATAAAAGAATATCCAGTGTTAGACATCATGCACTTAAATATGCCTATAAAATATTTGGAGCATTGTAAGTTGTTAAAACTTTCTTTGAAGACAATTTAGTAATGTGTGTCAGAAGTCAACCATAGCTTCTCATCATTTAATCCACTAATTACCCTATTTGTGATATTTTAAATAATATTTGCTAAAATATAACATTGAATAGTCATTTACTATAGCGTCATATAAAATAAAAACAAATTTCAAGAATTAATAATTATTAAACAATTCTGGAATGCCCTATTGATATTATATAGTGGTTAAAAATGATACTTATTGTTTCCATGAGAAAGAAAATGCTTGTTTTTATGTACATAAAATAACAAAATAATGTCAATCTATATCATATATTTTATCATCTTAATTATGTAAAAATTCAAAAAATAACTAAAAATTTAACATAATGTACATATTTGTTTCTGGAAAATGGAGTACATTGTTTCCTTCATATAATTGTGTATCTTTCTTTCATATGCTCTAATAATAGATGTATGCCTTTTATTTTTGCATGAATGTAGAAAATGTTAAACAGCACAGATTGGGAGGGGCAGCTGGGAGCAAGACTATTAAATTGACACACAAGTTCTGCAGAAGCTAGAAACATTAGAAGATATAATTATCTACTCATCCCATGTGACAATAACAGTCTTTAAAAAGTTATATTTTTGTCTTTTTCTCCTTTTTCATTCTGTCTCTTCATCTTAATAGCACATTAAAAATGAGAGTAGTTACTATGTACTTGAGGGGCTAATGCCATCGATTCAACAATGTTGGACACAAGGCTTCCAGATATTCTAGAAACATTTTAAAATCATTCCAGGTATATTAATGAAACATTTCAGTTCTATGTTAATTTATCATATTATTTGAAACTTAATAATGGTGATTTCCCTTTTGTCATTTATATTTTATTATAAATCAACTTTACCCAAGAGAATAACACAGACAAATAGGTAGATGACTTGTTTTATTTTTGTCTAGTTTTAGAGTTGAATTTTCCAAAAAGTGTTATCCACTAGTTTAGGATCTGATAAATATTTGTAATAGAAAGTTATTAAAAATCCATGAAATACCTTTGTTATATAGTGACTATTTATTTAATATTGTTATTGAGAATTATTAAAATAGTACACATTTCCTTTTTCTAAAAATGTTTGCTATTAAACCTTTTTAAACACCCTTACCTCTAGGTAGGCTGATATACTGAATTAGTACGCTTTATTCTAATCAATCCTTCTAAAATCTCAGTGCACTGCACCAGGTGGTTCACTGAAAATGGTGACCTTTGAGGGCTTTGTTTCATCATGATAAAGTTTTTAGATTTTGCCTTGAAGAATCAAATAACTTTGAGTTCTTTATATATTTTGGAGATCAAATCCTTGTCCAAGGTATCATTGGCAAATATATTTTCCCATACAGCTGGTTCCCTTTACCCTTCATGACAGCATGGATGGAACTGCAGAGCATTATGCTAAGTGAAATTAGCCAGGCGGTAAAAGACACATATCATATGATCTCACCTATAAGTGGAACCTAATCAACAAAACAAACAAGTGAGCAAAACAGAACCAGAAACATGGAAAAAAAGAACATACTGATTGCAACCAGGGGGAGTAGGGAGGGGGATAATGGGGGAAAGAAGGGGAAAGGTCATGAAAGAACATGTATAAAGGACCCAGGGACAAAGACAACTGGGTGGAGGGGGGAGGATTGACTATGGGAGGTGGGGGTGGGTAGGGGCTAGAAGAGTAATGGGGCTGGGGGAAAGGGGATCAACTGTAATTGAACAACAATAAAAAAAGAATCAAATAACTAAGATTGTTTATTACAGTCAGCAGCATCTCCTTTAGTTACTCTCCCAGGGGACATAGAAGAGGAAGTCCAAGTAGTTGTATAATATAATCAGAGAATGAACTGAAAATAACCCATATTCCTATATAAACTCAGCTTCATTCTCCTGAGATTTGGGGCAAAGAAACTAAAAAAAGGAAAATGGTTACATACTCATTTTTGAAATTTGGCGTCCTGGAATTGAAACACTTGAGAATTTAAAAACTCATTTAGTCATAAGTTGAAATGTCTCACTGCCTGTATTTCAGGCAAAAAAATGTTCTCAGAAATTGTATTTGTTTTTCAGCATATATGTTTCTTGTCTCCTCATACCCTTTCTAAACACTAAATGCAATTTAAGTATCAAAAACATGCTATAAAGAATTGTCTTTCACCAAGTTAAAAATCCACCTATAGTGACTGATATCTGTTATTATTAAAGACAGCATTTAAAACAACGTAACTGGAGAGAAAATGCAATGTTTTTCACATGGACTATTCAATAATAATGTTCAAAAGTGGCCTAACAATATTGAATTCTTTTATATGGCTGATTAAGAAATTTTACACTTAGTGTAATGCTTTCTTTAAAGAGGAGTTGTTTCTTCTTTCTCAATAAAACACTAGAATAAAAACAAATTATTCAACCATATTTCTTAGCCACAGTTTCTCTAAAATTAGTCAGTCACCAATATCATCAGGTGTTATATGAAATGGATTCCCAAAGAAAACAGTTTTACGGACTTCAAGTGGCCTTGTGTCACGTAGTATAAATTTGTACTAATTTGGATCATCATATTGGCTTACTGTATTAATTTTAATGTAGAAGTACTAAGTAAAGATACTTTCGACTTTTGCTCATTTAACATGATTCAATTTAAAAACTGCAAGTGATTGAGAATTAAACTATATATAATACCTTCATTAAAACATTTACATATTTTACTGCACAAATATAATTAAAACTAAATTGAAAAGTTTTAGACCTACAGCATCTGGCAGAAGTAACGCCTGCCTGAGTGTGGTTGGTAGGGTAATAATATGGGTGTAATAACTTACAGTTTTAATTTGAACATTTCACCTAAAATGTCATAGGGTGTGTTCAAGTGTGATATTGTCATGTTACAGAATTGCATGCTTATGATTTTGTAATTAAAAAAGGGCATTATTTATGCTGGATGCTGTATAATCCTATTAGATACAACTTGAGTTAACAACTTTCACTGGTAAATGATCTTGAAGTTTCTTTATGTATTCCACGCGTCCAAAAAGAATTAAAATCATAGCTGCATATATAAATAATCTGAAAGTGAACACCCATATAACCACAAGACATGTTTAAAAAACAAAACAAAGCATTCACAGCATGACAATTCTTTGTGCCACTGTTTTGGGGATAGGTAGCCAAAGTCAGTTTCCCAGTCTTCTGGGACGCCGGTAAACTTTACACCAGGGGACAGGAAGCCCAAAGGCCCTCCCCATAGGATTAAGGGTGCGCCAGAAATAGACCAGGTCATATAGGGATTAAAGCCTATTTCAGATCACCTCAATCCCTGAACAGGCATAAAGGCGAAAAAATGATTTTTAAAAAATAATTTTTTTGGATTCAATCATCTTGATTAACCTATCACTGTTTCGTTTTATATATAATATCTAGTTGCCTAAAAATACGGAACGCTTCACAAATTTGCGTCATCCTTGCACAGGGCCCGTGCTAATCTCTGTAGCATTCCAATTTTAACTGTTACTTGGCCCCATTTTAAAAAATGCCATTAAGGAAATTGTATTGTTATAAATGTACACTGATATTTATTTTCAGCTTCTGTGTTAAACATCTAAGGAATCATTAGGCTTAATCCACGAAGATGTCATCTGGAATGTTTAGTATCAGTTTATTTATGAACATCAACTGAGATGCTTCAATTTAGGTCATGAAGACCAGATTAAAGTTTTTTTTGGCAGCTTTACACAATCCATAAATAGATTCACACTATCCATTGATTAGATAGTCCTAGCTACATCAACAAAGCCCTGTAATAAAATACCTGTTGCCTGAAGAAGAAAATCTATCCAGGAAAATGTCCAACTAAGGCTTTGTACAATGGCCTAATACAAATAAATAAATAAACACACACACGTGTGTGTATATATGTATATATAATATATACATATATGTGTGTACATGTATATATACATACATATCTACAAATGAGATAATAGCTTAATTTCCTCTACTATGGACATGTATTTATTTTTGAGTAACTGCCTGGACAAGAATTTTTTTATTTCTTTGTCTTGTTTATGATGACCCTGACTTACAGAAGCATTAAATGCATCTTTTGCGATGAGTTTAGAAATGTTATGCTTATGAACTAAGTGACAGTATCAATTGTCACACACAGTGACCATATATCAAGGAATTACACTAGCATTAGGTAGAACAGCAGGTCCATTTGTTCAAATATTCACTGAACATATGAGTGGTTTTCTCTAACAAGGTCCCCAGGGAACCAAGTTGCATCCATCACCGCCTGCATCCTAACTGGAAGATAACTATTTTAAACTCCTGCTAAAATATGTGATGTTTAAAGACTGAAATAAAATTGTATGTCAAGAGCCAGAGAGGAATGTACTATTGGAATACACACCAGAGAAAAACTGATAGAAACCAGTAACTGCTGATTTAATCAGATTTTCACTTTTGTTTATAACTTTTATATATTGTAAATAGTGATAAAAATAAGAACTAATTAACACTCCATAGATTATACTTACAGAAAATTAGATGCTTTGGTTTTCTAGAATATGTATATAGAATTAAAATTTTTAAGGTTCAAATGGGTATAAAACACATTCATAATACAACTTGTAAAACTGTATTTTATTGAATTCATTTATTTCTTCAACAAATTACTTTCTCTTTTTTTCATAGGGCTTATATTCTAGTTAAAAATAAAACCTGTAATTGATGAGTATTTTGGCAGCTACCCCCTAAGGTGAGCCTCAGTAATTAACTCTTGTAAAATCCCCTACCTTTGAATGTGGTGGGCAGCTGTGACTTGTGCCTAAAAAAATAGGATGTGACAAAAATAGTGGGAGGTCACCTTTAATTAAGTTGTGTTATATAAAAATTCATGTAAGCATACTGGAGCACAAGAGATTTTCCCTTCTGGCTCTACAAGAGAAAAGTGTCATGCTGTGAACTAACTGGAGAAGGTGGCAAGGGCCACATGGTAGGAGATTGCAGCCAGTGTCTAGAAGCTGAGTAGCCTCCAGCCACAGCCTAGGAGCATCTGGGAAGCAGAGGACACATGCAAAACTTGAAATAACACATGCATGTTTTTTTAAGCCACTGAGTTTGTGGTAGTTTTTTAGATTGTACCAAAAAACAAAACAAAACAGAACAAAAAAGCCCTAATGCAGTATGCATTGGTTCACCAGGATTAATATTAGTATATTGGTTTGAGCACCTTACAGTGGTGTTAATGTTCTGCCATTTTGGTTATAGGCTTGGACTAAATATTTGATAGTAGTCTATGAGGCTGAAATGTCAGAACGTCCATGAAATAATGTACAAATAAGAGGTCTAAAGATTCAGGGAGATGGACCTGTAGACCTTTGGCACTCCTCAGCCATCCCTTGACCATAACCCTGAGAGGTACAGATGAATACTTCTTTCATCGGGGCATAGACATATGTGTATGTGAGCAAGCTTGGGAAGCTCTGTGCTGATGCCCTTGTAGAGAGGCGATGGCTGTAGAGGATGTCAACGCGAAGATGGGTGCTCTTGCCTCTGTGCGGTTACTAGGATTCAAGTACTACAGAGGTTGGCGGAGGTGTTTAGCATTCGCCAACTATGTGAGCTCACAACCACAACAGGAGAAATGAGTCAATAAAGTATTTTGATGGATGGCCAACTAATTAAGAAATCCCTTGGCATATATTAGTAGATAAATTATAGGCCTGATCAGTAGACACTAAATATGAAATTAATATAAAAAGGTTTATTACTTTTAATTATTGCAGATGCAAGCTTGTTTACACGCCCAGGGCCCCTCAGTTAAAGGGAAATCTTTAGTCCCTTCTGCAAACAGCCACTAGTCTATACTCTTTCCATAAACTCTATCCAAAGTACTTGCAGCCATTTAACAGACAACCGCATTAGAGAAAATCAAATATGACCTTTTATTGGCTCAGAACTGATACTAACCCCTGCCCTCCCCCCTAAAAAAACTTCCAGATAGTATATACATTGTGAAGAGTGCATCTATTAAAATAGTGTCATACATAGGACTAACAATTCTTATTGCTTTAGTTTCTATCGATTATTATATGTGACTGACAATAAAATCTAGTATAAATATAGAGCTTATTTTTATCCTTCTTCAAACTCCTTTTATTAAAATATTTAATTACACATATTGTATGAAGTTTTTAAAATAGGGGGATAATTTTGAAACATTTTTTGGTATGTATGGAAAAATGTATATAAGAACAAATATTCCAATTAGCAGTTCAATAGATTTTTTCATATATATTTAAATTAACATGATTTTCTCAAAATATGTCCTTTAAACATTCATAATGACAATGCAAATACTATTGGATGGGCGACAATACACACTTTAAACAATTTTTATACACACAAGAAAAGTTTGAAATATATTCATAATTAATCCTGGCTGCATACAAATTGTCTAATACATTCTGCATTTTTCCTTGCTTTGAAAATAAAGAAATGGTGAATTACAATAATTATAGCAACTACTTTTCTTATATTTAAATGCAGAATTCTGAATCAATGACAAGGCCTCAAATTGGTTAGTTTACCTAAGTATGCAGAAGTATGAAATAAAAAGTCTGCAGCATAATTACTGGCAGTTAAATAGTGAATAATTTGTGCATGTTCAAACAAGCCTATAAATGTGACACAGATATTCATGAATATTTATGAGCAATTAATACTTTGAAAGTTAGTGGAACAGGATATCTTACATTATCTTCCCAAAGGTAGAGCCATCTCTACCTGCTCTGACCAAGTTAACAACTCCATTCTTCATACTTTTGATTTTCAATGAATATGATGTTTATATTTTTATATCACAAATGAACTTAGAGTCCATAAATTGAAATATTATTTTTGTTTTAAATCACAGGCAGTTGTTCATCAAGATTTAGTGTATCTCTATTACCCATCGGACTAAGACAAACCATGAGTCTCCCTACTAAATTTTCTTATCCCCAGGAAAATATTAGAATCTCAAGGTTAATAATAATGTTTTCATTTTAAAAAATACTATTTCAAAGAAATTATACTCTAATTTGGACCAATAATAAAGCAATATATTAAAAAAATCTTTGTTGTTGCTTCAACTCACTGCATCATTTTTATTAGATAATTTAAAAAAATATTATTAATAAATTCAGATTCTGATGTCCCTTAATGACTCCTTAAGACTTGACAAGACTTAATTTTCATGGTTGTTTCTGTAAAATATCATAATCACTTCAAAAATAAAGATTTGAAATCAGAGAAAACATTCTTAGGAATTGCTTTGATTTAAATTTAGAGTAGCTTTCAAAAAACTAAGTCATCATATGTGGATTTAGGTGAATAGCCTTTCAGAAGCCAATTTTATTGATTATTTCTAGTAACCTTTATGAAATTCTACTACAGTGTAGACTTTATAGAATTTCAAATAAATATATAAATATTGAAAAGACTTTTAAAAGAAATTGATTCTATTCTTTGATTAAACATGACATAATCTTAATATAAAAGGTATTATTTCTTTAAAACCAATGATTAATCTCGCTTCAAGAGCCTTATGATTTTTAATACCAAAACTATTGGTTTCTCAGAAATAACTTTTTTATTTTATCATCTCATTGTAGCAAAGTTTCTTCTACTATAGAATAAAAGATGTTGGACATGCCACAAGATTGTCGTTAAAATTTCAAATGAAAATATTCAGAATTTTCTCAATTAACAAAACTATATCAATATGTCATGAATGAAATCTCACTTCATCTAAGAGAAAATAGGTTTGGCATTTATTTCAGAACATGTGGATTTATATCTTGTTTTGTTCTGGTAACAGAGGTGCCCAAAGTATAGATAATTTTTATGAGCTCACAGTTGTTGATGGGGGACAGGAGAGGTGGTAGAGACATGGAATAAAATTGATACTATGGAATAACTATACAATGCATCAAGGCCACATATTTTTTAAGCAGTAAAACATGATATTTGGTTTTGGAAATAAAAAATAAGACAGGGACCTTTTGGTGCAGGAACCAACACTGAACAATTCCTAAAGAGGTGAAATATGATTTACGATGCATGTTTAACCACTGACTACCAGATGGCTGGATGGGTAAAGGGTACAAAAGGACAAAAGACATTCAAGAGAAAGGACTGGCAGCAGAGTGGATCAAGGCGACAACAAAGAAATTTGATTGGTTTAGGAGGCAGCTGAAGTGGCCTGAGCTGAAGTAAATGTTCTCATTCAAGAATAATAAAAGAACTGGGATTACATAAATTAGGGAGAGTAATTTGTAAAGTACTCTCTATACTGAATGGCGATAATACTAAAAAAAGTCGCCCTTGTTGGATACTGATGTGGTGTAGGGCAAAGATTTCTTGAACCACTACTCAGTAGATACGTGATGAAAGAGACAAATGGCATCTGAGAATTCGGGATAGATGGTTGAGGTCAGCAGGAGATCAAGTGTTTGTAGCATTGTTAGGACATTGAGCAAAGAAAG